AAGCCAGCCCGGGCAGGGAAGCCCAAAAGACCCTTCAAGAAGCGACTTCCAGGTGTGTCATTTTGTTCTTTCCCCTGATGGGCTCCACGAACACAACAAACCTCAGACCCGGGTCTGCGGCCTGCGCACCCCTTTCCCACCTCCCCGCGCTGCCGCTCGCTCCCCTCCGCCGCCCCGCCGCGCCTGCGCCCCCGCCCCCACCCTCCCGGCCTGCGCCCCCCTAGAGACCTTGGGAGCTGGGCCACCCCATTCAGCCAGGCACCGTCCTTTCCCAACAGTAGATGTTCCCCAGCAAAAGGCTCTCGTCCCCGACGTCCCATTGAATTCTCTGTAACACGAAACTGTCGAAAACTTTTTTCTTTTTTAAAGCATGTACCGTGCTTGGCCAGGATAAACACTTTTCGTTTTGCTCAAGGCTAAGCTCACTCCCGCTTGAACCACAGACTCACTTCCGGTTATTCGGGGGCTTCGTTGGAGATCAAAAGTCTCAAGGACTTTCCTTGGTTTCCAACCATGATCCTCGAATCTCAGCCTCCAGAGTGGCTAGGTAGGATTACAGGCGCAAGCCACCATCGCCTGGCTGGAAATGCTTTTAAGTGGACCTTTTGATTATGCTCAGCATTGCTTTGCAACAGAACTGAGAACAGCTTTGGAAAACCGTCCTCAGTGTAGCAACTCCCCTGGGCTTCCCATCCCCACCCCACCCCCATTCTCGGAACCACCACCATTTTGCCCCCAAAGATCTTGTTTTATTTCCTGACAGTGACCCAGGGAGATAGAGTGGAGAGGGCGGGTGTCCTACTCCAGTTTCCCCGGAGTGGGGGAATAAGGGGCCCAGAACATGGCTTGAAGGACATGGACAGGCTTGTGTGCCTAATGGCTCAACTTTCTCTGCATTGTGGCCCTTTGTCATGCTGGCTGGGTGGCATCCGTGCCCAGCATTCACCCTGGCTTCTCAGCTACAGCCTGTGCACCCTCTGCTTTTGCTCTCTGTGTTCATCTAGGCAGTGCCTTGAACCTGTTGGAGCTCATTACCAGAGGGGAATATGCATTGCCTGTTGTTTTTTCAGTGATTTTTTTTTAAAAAAAGAAAGTACACAAACCCCCCAGCCCACCTGCATTAGGCATGAACTAAATAGAACTCTGTGTGTGTGTGTGTGTATACACACATATATATTCAGATCCAGATTCCTGGATTCCCACAGACAACTCAATGTGCAGCTTGTATAAAAAGGCATTGTGTTGTCATATAATGTAGGCTTATCTTCCCACATGCTTTAAAATCACGCCCAGGTTACTTTTAGGACTTACTGCAATTTAAACACGTTGTAAATATTGGCCATACTATATTTTCAGGGAATGACCACAAGAAAGATGTCTGTATGTGTTTAGTACAGCGTATGCCAGTATTTTTCCATGCATGGTTAGTTAAATCTGTAGAGCTGGAAGCGGCAGATCGGGAGGGAATATTACATTCCTTGCTAACCTTCTCTCATCAGGAAACAGGCTTCTTGTTTCTGTCCTCCTTGAAGCATCATGCTACTGTGTTCATCTTCTAGAGCTTCTCGCTCTCCATGCTGCTCGGAAAATTTAGTGGCACCATGTTTCTCTTGGCACACCTTTGCAATTCTATGTCTAGCCCTGCTCTTCTGGGCAAGCCATTCACCTGGCTGATCGCTCACAGCTCCTTAATGAACTGCAGGGTACCATTGCAGGCTCTTCTCATTTCAGCCTAACACTCTTTCATGAGTCCTGGTTTTGAATGTCCTCCTGCCTCCCGGATAATTGTCCCTTGAACCTGTACTATCACTTCAAATACTGCATAGTGTGAGTGAAAGTCATCATATAGAAGCCAAATAGATATCAATATCCTTTCTTTCTTTCTTTCTTAAACACGTGCTCACAATTTAGCTCAAGCTGGCCTGGAATTCACTAGGTAGCCTAGCTACAAATTTACGATCTTCCCATCTCTGCCTCCAAGTGCTAACATTGCAGATATGTGCCATCATGCCCAGCTAATATCACTATACTCTAGAGACTCTCCCAGATTATTTATGTTGACAAAGCCACCAGAAGAAGATGCCCCCCCCCCCGCCATAAACCTGCACCTGTACACAGCCAGCCTCAGACTTGAAGAGCTGAGATCAGCTGGAGCACAGAGAGCAATGGGTTCTGCTGTGAGCAGGCCCGGGAGGCAGATATGCAGTGAGACTGTGTGAACTTCCCAGACATCCCAGCTCCCGCCTCACTTCTACATTCCAGTTATTGCACAGCTCTCTCTGTGGCCAACCTTCACCTAGATCCATCCCTGAAGAAAGATTCTGGGAACCTGATTCTTCCGTAGCTACCTTGAGAAAATACAAAGCCATCATAGGGGAAAAAGCAACTATGACATAACAGGAAATCAGACAAAATAAAACACGATTGGGAGAGCTCTAGCTTTACATGCTTTAGTGCCTTGTAGAAAGATTCCATCTGAAGGAGTGAAGAGGCTATCCAAGGCCCAAGGAAAGGGGTTGGGTCCCAAGATAAGGAAACAAAGGACCTTTTGTTAATTTGTCTTTTTGTTTTCTGACGACTCTGTATTCTTTGCCTCATATATGGTATACACGCGTGCACACCTGAGGAAAGGTGGGGGAGGGCACAGATTCAGTGGAAAATGCGTGAAAAGTGCTGAAGAGGAGCCCTCTAGCTGCACTGGACACTGATGCAAGTGAACCACGTAACTTGTGGATGGAGATGGGAGGAAGGGAGTGGGAGAGAATGAGGGAACAGAGGACACTATGCAAACGGAAGGAACTGTATTTACTACCTGACCTATGTAAAGGTAACCCCCGTTGGTTATCACCTCCAAAACAAGACTAAAGTAATTAAAATGTATAAAGAGAATAAGAGAGTATTTGCTTGGAGGGTACCAGAAAGAAAAAAGAGAGAGAGGGAGGGAGGGAAGGAAGGAAGGAAGGAAGGAAGGAAGGAAGGAAAAAAAGGAAAGTGTCTGGGAAGGAATTGTAGGCTCTCTCCTCCCAGAGAGATGGAGTGGAGTAGGCATTGGAGGCTGGGCTGCAGCATGAGGTGACCGAAGGAGCATCAACAAAGAATAAGTGGCATGTATCAGAAGCCACATAAAATAGACTGGAAAGCCAAGCACTGGTGGCTCATGCCTGTAATCATAGCTACTCAGGAGACTGAGATCTGAGGATCAACGCTCAAAGCCAGCCTGGACTGTCAAATTCTTACCTCCAATTAACTACCCAAAAGCCAGAAGTGGAGGTATGGCTTAACTGGTAGAGTGCTAGCCTTGAGTGGAAAAAAGCTAAGGGACAGCACCCTCAGTATTGTCACACAGAATGGACTGGCCATAGCTCTAGCAGCTTACATAGAAGAATCTTAGAACGACAAGGAAAATGGTAGTCACCAAGTCTCATGATTCTCCAAGCCAGAAGCTCAAAACCGGATGTTGGCAGTGCCATGCTCCATCTGGAAGCCTCGGGGAAGGATCTAGCCTTTCCTAAGCTTCTGGTGTTATGCAAGCCTTGCCTTGGGAATGCATCACCCTCGACTCTGGCTCCATCACGTGGAATGCTCCTTGTGTGCGTGCCTGTGGCTCTTCTCTTCTTATTAGAACACCAGTCACGGCAGATTAGGGGGACATTTTTAATTGTATCTCCAATAACTCTATTTCCTAATATAGCCATATCCCGAGTCACCAGGGAGGACATAAACGGGCAGTGTGTGCATGTATGTGTGTGTGTGTGTGTGTGTGTGTGACCGATCAATCTTGTTCATAAAGGAAATAATTGCAAGGAAGATTACAGACCATTTTGATATATGAAGCTGGAGAAGGAGCTAGGGTTAAAGGCAGGATTTTTCCCCCCAATGGGAGAGGTTTAAACACGATACTATGTTGAATAAATACAAGAGCCCTAGGGATGGAGAAATGAAAGCTTCCAGACTGAGAATAAGTAATTGATGGCATCTGCTCCCAGGAGTCCGGGATCTGGAGGGCAGGTGGACAGATCAACCACGGGCAGAAGAGATGTGTGCAGATACAGTTGGGGGCGGAGGGGCCCAAGTTGCTGAGCAGGGTGAAGCGTGACAACACGACGTCGTGCATATTGAAGGTGTTCCGTGAGTAAATCGAGAGCAGATGTTGGCGTCCGCAGCTGGAATAACAGCTTGTGAAACCAGCCCTATGTTGTGGGTGGAGGATTAGTCAAGGATTCTGTTCATGAGAACCAAGAAGAGGAGGACAATCTGCTCATGTCAATAGACTGGGCTGTGAGGGGGCAGGTTCATCATTAACCTGGAAACGGCCTCAAAGCTGAAGGAAACCATGCAGTACAGTGTGCTGGCTTCTGGCTTGGGGATGGGGAGTCTCACACACAGTAATTTCCCCTTCGGTGGGATGGTTCTAGATGGTGGCTTTCTGGAGGATTTATGAAGCAGGGCTGAGATTGAGGAATTTCCCTGTGATAACTCGGCAGAGGTGTGGTACAGGAGATAGATGTAGATGCGGTTTCAATGCGGACATGGACTTGAATTCGTGACGTGCAGAGCCCAGCCATGACTGCTGGAGACCCTGGATCAAACCCCAGGCATGACATTTGGTTAGTGACAGTGGATGTAGATGATAATGTCGCCTGGAGACACCTGTTGGCTTCTGCCCCAACATATTCAAAAGTGGCATCTGTGTCCAGGCAACATGGCTTTGCTTTGTCCTCTTCTTTGCATCCTCAAGACTTCTGATTTTGACCAAAGCCTTTTGTATCAGGTTCCTTGCCACTTGTCAGAAAGTGATGAGCAGCCACACTGCTGACACTTAAATGGTTGCATTTAGAAGAAATTTCAAATATTTAAATGAGCAAATTCATATCCTCTCTCTGAGCAGGCAGGTGGTTTTAAAAACAAAACAGGTTGCTGGACAACGGTGGCTCACACTTTGTCATTCTAGCTATTGGAGTGGCTGAGATCTGGAGGATCATGGCTAAAGGTCAGCCTGGAGAGAAAAGTTTGATAGACTCTCCAAAATAACCAGTAAAAAGAAGGGCAGGAGGCGTGGCTCAAGTGGTAGAGTGCTAGCTGAGCAAGCACAAGGGTCCTGAGTTCAGACCCTGGTGTTCACCAAGTAACAACAATAACAAAACCTAAGAAGACTGGGGGTTTTCCATCATGGTTGCATATGAGAGCCATAGAGAGCTCTGAAGAATATTCTGATGCTGAGCTGTAATTCAGGCAATTCTAACTTGGTTTCCATGTACGGCCAGTGTATCCCTCCAATCAGAGCACATTTTGCACAGCTCTTCCTAGTAGGTCCCACAAAAGATCTTAATCTCCTTTAGAAATCAGAGAGAAGGAAACTAATTGGTACATTCTGCCTCTATAACTTTTTTTTTTGCCTTATCTCCATTATGAGACCAGAAATACGGGGCCTCAGTGAGAGCGAGATAATTTAAATACATGAGATCATTTTAAGATATTGTTGAGAATAATCTTGACCTTGGTCTTAAGACTAACTTTCGCATGAAAATGAGATGTACCTTTACTTAAGTAATTAATAATAATAATAATAAATCGTAATAATTTTTCAAGGAGCTCAATGTAGTGAGCATGGTACTGAGGATTTTTACCTGTATTGTTTAAGATTTTAAACCCATCCATATCAGATTGCTATTACCATCTCTGCTTCACACTTGAGGAATTTGAGATCCAGGATTAAATAAGATCAGGCAAGTATTACTTGTCATATTTGGGCTTCAATACCAAGGGGACGCATTTGAAACTCCTGGTCCTTTTCACTACCTTCTGCAACACACACCAAGAGCGGCTGGGTAAAAGTTGGGGCTCAGATCGCCCTCCATCAATGTCAGTTTGTGCCTTTGCCTTCTGTGTGAAGCAATGCTCCTGGCTGCCTGCTCAGTCAGCTGTGTCCTCAGCAGCAGATTAGGCCTCTGTCAGGCAACCTGGCGATCAGCAGTAACTTTGCTTGGGGTTTTGGGTGTCTGAGGAAACTATCTGTCAGACATGTTGGGTTTCTAGACCTCTAGCTTCCCTAGACCCTGTCTAGGCTAAATTCCCTCCTTGTTGGCATACCACAGCCGTGTTATCTCAGAAAGTAAACACTGCCCTCCACTTGTATCTGCAGCCTGACCTGAATGGTACTGCCAGGCCCTTTTCCTGTGGTAACCAGGAAGAACCAGAGGAGACAATTTGATAGAACAAGCGTGAGGAAGGAGTTTTCAACTCAACAAGGTCCAGAGCAAAACAAACAAACAAGAACAAGGGAATGTTTCATCAGAGTGGATGGGAGGATGTTTTTCAGATGACAGAGTTGAACAAGGCACCGGTGGCTCACGCCTGTAATCTTAGCTACTCAGGAGACTGAGATCTGAGGATTGCAGTTCAAAGCCAGCCAGGCAGGAAAGTCCATGAGATTCTGATCACCAATAAACTACCAGAAAACTGGAAGTGGCGCTGTGGTTCAAGTGGCAGAGCACTAGCCTTGAGTAAAAGCTCAGGGACAGCACTCAGGCCCTAAGTTCAAGCCCCACAACAGACTAAATAAATAAATAAAGGAACAAGGCTGTTCAAAGAAAGTGTGGTTGAGCCCCCAGAACTCACTTCAGAGTTTACACAGAACCCAGAGGGACTTAGGGCAGAGGTCTTTAGTGAGAAGTTGGGGATCTGAGAACAAGCCTACTAAGCACTACACACACACACACACACACACACACACACGCGCGCGCTGAAGTCACTAGAATTTAAGGGCTTAAAGATGTTCTGTTACCCAAAGACACATCTGTTTAGAGTTAGAAGATGGTGGAGTCAGTGACAAAACATCATCAAGATGTTTGGGTTGAGTAGGTGAAAGGGAAAATTGGCAAGCAGCTTTCATCTGAACAAGGCTTCTGATAATGTAGCATCCGTAGTTGAAAATCATAGTGTCTGAAGTTTCTTATTATGAGATCTCTGTAATAAAAATCCCTTTCTAAGCTCAATTCTCTGACTGACTAGGACCTTTTACTGCTCATTCATTTTCAGCTTTTAATATTTTGTGGACTTCTTTTGTTGATAATTCTTCACCCATTTTCTTTCTCTTTCTGGGGTTTGGTGTTTGGGGGGAAAAAAAGATCAGCAAGCCAGCTGTGGTGGTACATGCCTATAATTCCAGCACTCAGAAGGCTGACACAGGGAAATACGTGTTTGAGGCCAGCTGTAGGGTAAGAAAGTGCAGCTATGGGAGAAAGTTGAGTTCCAGGCATGGAAGCTGAGTTCTAGATTTCTCCTCGTGTCATTGTGATTCTGCTTGGCATTCTGGATATGTGTGTCTCTCTCCATAAGACCTGCCCCCTGGGTAGTACCTGACTTTGGGATACATTAGGAGGGGCCTTATTACTAAGATGACATATTCTGAGTGGTGAGTGGACCTTGCAAGAAGGAGGAACATCCAAACCAGATTGGAGATCAGCACAAGGAGGCTTAGGTGGGAGACACAGAGAGGGGTCTGGGGCAGGACAGCAGCATTAGATGGTCTCCTTGACGATAAAAAAAAAAAAGAATAGAAAAGAAACACTATACAGTCTGAGAAAGAACGCAGCTCAGGATCCTGAAGACCATAGGCCAATTTCAGGATTTCACTCTTACTAGTCATAGTCAGAAGATGTACAGATAGACAGGATTTTTTTCCTCCAGTTCTGAGGATTCAATTCAGGGCATGGGTGCTGTCCCTGAGCTGCTTTTGCTCAAAGCTGGCCCTGCTTGAGCCAGAGCGGCCACTTCTGGCTTTTTCTAAGTGGTTTATTGGAGACAAGAGTTTCCTGGACTTTCCTGCCCCATAATCCTCAGATTTCAATCTCTTGATTAAGCTAGGATTTCAGGCCTGAGCCACCAGTGCCCAGCTCCACTTAGGATTTTTTTTGATAGTGCTCAAGTACATATAACATCTGGTTTGTTTACAGCCACTTTACACTTCCTTATAAAACACTTCATTGTAAAATAGGCTTTGGTTGGGTGAGTTTGGAGACTATTGTGAGTTCTCTAAGACCACAGACAGAATCTTCCAGATGTACACTGAAGGCCTATAAGGAAGGAAAGAAGAGAAAGGACAGATTCTTGAGAGGAAAGCAAGTTAAAGGGATGTCTTTAGAGGAAGAGAGATACAAGAATCTTTTTTGTTTTCTTGTGGGAATGACTTAATCTTGCATCGAAAGGATTATAGTTTTCTTATCTCTCAGAATCAGGACTTTCATCCTTAAAGCAGGATGTGAAAGATCTATTTTGTAGATGTCAGAGGGTTAAATGGGAAAACACATTTGATGATAGGTGATGCGTAATACAGTGCCTGGTTTGACATAAATACTTAATGTCTGTTCATTTTTTCCAATATTTTACTACTAAAGATTTATGAAGTAGTCATCTCAGAATCTGGAAGCCAAGGAGCACAGTATTTACATTTAAATTTTTATCTTGGTATCTTATAGATCATATATATAAATACATCATTTTATGGGGTATAGATTTATAAGAAATATCGGTTCACATATTTTGAAAGGTTGTTCTGGTAACATGCCCAATGAAGCCTCCTTTTATCTCCCGTACATGTGGACATTATACGTGTTAATTTAGGGTTTCTCCATGAGCCAAAGCCTGTCCTTACAGGGGGTTGCTTTTGGATTTATGGCTCACATCTGCAAAACAAGCAGGGAGTAAGAACAGGAAACTCTGAGAAGCAGTTTCACTTTTTTTTTTCATTTTAATTCAAAAACTTTTGTCCAAGATTGAGGTAACTTTTCTTGCTTTTAAAAAATACTTTTCTATAGGCTGGAATATCTTAAGCAAGGACACATTAAATCAAACAGATAATTTTTCTGGAGTAGTCTAACTCTATGCTTTGTTTTGGCAAGAACTTCAGGGGGAAAATGAAAAGATAGCGAGAAAGAAAGAAAGAGAAGAAGGTGGAGGAGGGGGAAAAGAGGAAAGGGGAAGGAGGAAGAAAGATGGAAGAGAAGAGGGAAGAAAGAGGGAACGAGAGATACACAGAGAGACAGAGAGGAAGAGAGAGAGAGAGAGACAGAGGAAAAGAGAGAGAAAGAGAGAGACTGTGAGAGAATCAAATAACACGTTCTCTTCTTAAAGACAC